CAGCTCCACCAACATGTTATATTTCAACCCATTTTCTAAAGTGCAGCATTATGTTAAATGCACTGGGTTTTACCCTATTACATTTAAATTTCATGGTTAAACAGTACATGTTAAAATCTAAGCTCAGCTAGTGCAAGAGCGGCAGTGACCTAAAATACATAAATATAATTTTACTTACCGAAAAAATGAAGTGGAGACTCCTTGGACACTCTATTAGTGCAATTAATGCCACAGCAAGTCATTTTGTCCAACAATTGCACAAATAATATCCAAAAAAAGAAAACACAAATGCAACAACTAATGGTGGCACAACTAATAGTAAGTAAGTAAGTAAACTTTATTTGTATAGCACCTTTCCCAGGCATAAGCCACAAGGTGCTTGACAACATTTTAAAAGTTTAAACAAGAAATGAGAAAATAAAAACTATGAATAAAAACAATTAATAAAAATAAATAAAAACATATCATAAAAGGCCAAGACCACACAGAAAACATAACAGCCCTAAAATAACTAGACGCATGCCTGGACAAATAAATGAGTCTTAAGCTCACTCTTGAACTTGTCGACAGAATCAAAAGAACGCAGAGTGAGGGGTCGGTTATTCCAGAGCTTAGGAGCTACAGCTTCAAATGAGCGCTCACCTCTAGTGTGATAGTTAGTGCGAGGAACTTTGAGCAGATTAAGATCCCCACTCCCCAGAGCCCGCATGGGGTGTAGGGTTGGATCAGTTCTCCAACGTAGGAGGGAGCTTGTCCATGCAGGGCTCTGAAAACCAGAACCAAAATCTTAAACTTAAACCTAAAAGACACAGGCAGCCAATGAAGTTCCTTTAGGATGGGGGATATGTGAGACCTCCTATTCGTGTGCATCAGGATTCTTGCAGCAGAGTTCTGCACTAGTTGCAGACAATGGAGCTCCTTCTTGTTCAGACTAGAAAATAAACTATTACGGTAGTCTTAAAAGGCATGAATGTGGAGCTCCAAATCATTTCTTGACACCATACGTCTAAGCTTCGAGATGTTCCTTAGTTGAAAAAAGCAGTTTCTCGTTAGCTGCTTACAGTGCTGCACAAAAGACAGTTCACTGTCAAAGATGACTCCTAAATTTCTAAGGCTTAACTTCACAGATCAGCCCAAATCACCCAAGTACTGCTTAATCTCCGGGACAGAACCAACAGGGGCAACAACCAGAGTTTCTGTTTTGTTAGCATTTAGCTGCAGGGAATTTTCATTAAGCCATTTCTTCATCTCCACTAAACAATGGAGCAAAGAGTCTAACTTATTCAGCTCAGACTGCTTAAAAGAGCAGGATAGCTGAATGTCATCAGCAAATAGGTGGAATCTTACCCAAATGGGCCAAATACAACAAGAAAAAAGAACAGGACCCAGGACGGAGCCTTGGGGCACTCCACTCAACAATTCTGCATATTCTGACCTTATTTGTTTTGCTGTAACACTAAAGCTACGTTCTGATAAATAAGAGGAGAACCACTGAAGGACTGTCCCTGATAGTCCAACAAAACTAATGGTCCAAGTTCAGAGACTGAAAATGGTGGAACAGTTTTCAGGCGAGGCCGAGGCTCTACTGAGGCCTTTCCCCGGAGCTAGCTCTGTGGTCACGTGGGTCGGATGCTCATTAATTATTCAGAATTTTAGGCTTTTAATACACTTAAACAGAAGAGTGAGAAAAAAAATCACCCCCCCTCAGAGTTGTCATGAGTGTAAACTAGATCATTTAAACCAAAAACATGTTTTGGTACCAGGCTGTAAACATATTTATTTCTGCTGTGAAATTGGTATTTTTAACATGGGAGTCAATGAGGATTTGCTCGCTTCTGACACCAGCCCCTAGTGGATGAGGGTGGAACTGCAATTTTTGTCACTTCCACGTTGGCTTTATTTTCATACCAGTATTATGGGGGCTTGTTTCAAACGCGACACAAGATGACCAAATAAAGTTTGTATAAATATACGACCTGTGAATTTGTAGAGTTGGCATTCTCCAGCTAGCCAGCTGCTTCTCCGTCTACGATCTGATATGACCCAAATTATTTACGTAGTTTATAAATGTATAATAAATAAAAGTGTGTATGTGACATTTGGGACATTTTGCTTTGGGGTTTCACTGATTCTTTTGTAAATATTTTGCATGAAGGAAAATATCCAGATATATATCTCATAGTCTGCTAAAAATTAACCAAAAATATTGAGATGTATGTGTTGGTCATCTCCCAGCCCCAGGTGTAACCAAGGAATGGCTGAAATTCGTTAAGAACGACAGAAATTTGTTTTTTTTATTTCCCTGCAGATGAAGCTCAAACCATCCTGTCCTCTGTCGGGAACTGTATCCTGTCCTCGCTGTCCTTTCCTCGAGTGGAGAAGGTTGTGATCCATCCTGACCAGATACAGCCTCCGTCAGAGCAGATGCAAAACGACATGAGCGTGAAAATTGAGGATGGAAGTGTGGCACTGCTGGACTACATTCAGACGGAGCAGCCGGCCAGTCACGTTGAGCTCGGCGATCACGAAAAAGCCGAACCTAGCGCGCAGGAAGCCGCTGAAGAAACGGCATGTGAGGATTTAGGTGACGCCTTACAGCCGGCAGCTCCACAGCCACCGCAGCAAAGCAGGAGGCTTCACCTGAGGAGAAAAGCTTCAAAAGTGAAGAACGATTCAGTGAAGAAAAAAAGAAAACGGTACCCCAAGACTAAAACGTGCCCTGTGTGCAGTAAGACGTTTCTCCGCGCTGCTGCCATGAGGCGGCACCAGGACATTCATAACGGAAAGCAGGACTTCAAGTCCAAATGCAGCGACTGCGGCAAACGGTTCAGAGATCAGTACGATTTGAATCGGCACATGATGCGTGTTCACGTGAAGGGAGAGAATCCAAACGGCGACGAGGTACAGCAAACGAGAGTTCCCACCACCTCTGAGAGTTCAGAGGGTAAAACCTGTCCGCTGTGTGGGAAGTATTTTGCTCGGCCAGAAGACATGGAGCGGCACATGAAGTCCCACTCGGACCACCGGCCACACGAGTGTTCCTTCTGTGAAAAGAAGTTCAAGAATCCCTACGTGCTGAAGAGGCATGAGAAGGAGATTTGTAAGAGAAGAGACCAGAAACGGACAGGAACTCCAGAAACATGTGAGACTCCAAAACTTCCTTCAGAGAGACTCGAGGTGGAGATCTGTAATAGCCAAGAACACCTCGAAAATCTCTCAAACCAAGACAAACCATCCGCTCCATCGTTGTTTTTAGAAGATCCCGATAAAGGTAAATATTGTCCCATGTGCAGCAGGTTTCTTCACAGCACCAGAGACCTAAAGAAGCATCTCCGGTCCCACTCTGAGGAGCGGCCCTTCGTCTGCGTCACATGTGAGAAAGGCTTCAAGTACAAAGACACCATAAAGAAGCATCAGGTCATCAAAGGTCACGACGGCATCAGGGTGGAGCGCTGTGAGAGGCTGGAACAGATTCTTGCCGAAGTCTCAACTCAGAATTTCGCCGCCAGTGAGCGAAAAGAAAATGACTCCGAAGCACCGGCAAACACTTGGGACGAGAGTCCGTTTGCACCCGTCCCAACCATCACTAATAAAAACCTCAAGGTGTGTCCCGTCTGCTCCAAGTCGTTCGATCGATTCAAAACGCTGAACAAGCACATTCAGTCCCACACAGAGGATCGACCCTATCACTGCATCCACTGCGAGAGGCGCTTCAAACACATAGACAATCTCAAGCGGCACCAGCTGTACGCCGTTTGCCGTAACAAAACCACGCGGTTCACGCGGACAAATCGCGCCTCTAAAAGCGGTGTGAGCGGAGGCGATCCCCAACGCCCACTGCCCAAGATGCCTGTGTGGTGCTCAAACTGTGGCAAAAACTTTGATTGCCTTTCTGCCTTGGAGGAGCATCAGGAGACCGTTTGCAGACCGGAAACGTGCGGTGCAAAGAAATGTCCAGACTGCGGAAAAGAGTTCAAGACCATGACGACGCTCAAGGTGCACCAGAGGATTCACAATCCGCTCTTCTGCAAGGAGTGCAAGAAGGTGCTTTCCAACAAGCCCGCTTTTGAGAGACACAAGCTGTTGCACCGGCCGATGCAGTGCACCATGTGCGAGGAGACTTTCATCATACTGAGACGCTTGAGGGAGCACTACGAGAAGCAGCACAACTTCGTCGGACCCTTTCCCTGTGATCAGTGTGACAAGTCCTTCACCCTCCTCTCCTACCTCGTCATCCACCAGCGGATACACAAGGAAGAGTTTCCGTTTGTCTGCAACAAGTGCCCCGAGAAGTTCAGGTCCTCCAACTGTCTGACGGTGCATCAGCGAAAGCATACCGGCGAGAAACCCTTCCTCTGCTGGCAGTGCGGCAAGTGTTACCGGGCCGCCTCTGAGCTCCGGCTGCACATGGGAACCCACTCAGAGGAGAGACCCTGGGCCTGCACGCAGTGCGACATGGCTTACCGCACAAAGCAGCAGCTCAGAAATCACGTGGAACAAGTCCACATTGGCGTCCGGTTTCCTTGCCATACCTGCGGGAAGAATTTCATGAAAGAGATGTCACTGAAAAGGCACGAGCTCCTGCACACCGGGGAGAGGCCTTACCCCTGCAAAGATTGCAGTAAAACCTTCCTGACGGGTAACGAGCTCCTGCGGCACAGCAGGTACCACACCGGCGAACGGCCGTACAAATGCGACGTGTGCAGCAAAGCCTTCATCCAGTCCAGCTACCTAAAGATACACATGCGCCTCCACACAGGAGAGAAGCCGTACAAATGCGACATTTGTGACAAAGGCTTCAGGCTGTCGAGTCACATGAAGAAACACAAACGGACGCACACCGGGAAGCAAAAGGGCTTCATCTGCGAGGAGTGTGGGTTAATTTTCTACCAGAAGAAGCTGCTGGAGGAACACGCAGCGTCTCATCAGGAGAAGCAGGACACATTTCCTCATGAAATTGAGATACAGTTTCAGTAGAGATCCTTATTCCTATGAACCGGTACGTCTTAAGAGAAACTAGTCCAAGCTTGTTATTTTATGTTGTCTTTTGAATCCGTATCTTGCTTTTAAAACGATTGAACACATGTAAAAACGGTGAATAATTCCTGTAGATTCATTAAAGAAACCTGCCTTCAGCATCAATTTCTGTCATTTTTTTAATTTAAAGGACAAAGTTTAAAATATTTGTCACACTATGAACTTGACTTTCATCTTTATGCTGATGACTGTCAGGTCTGTGCTCCTATTAAAGCTAAGGTATTAGCTCTGAGTTGTCTTTGTTAGGTTAATGACTGGTCGTAGTTTTCTCCAGATTAACGAGTAAGACTGAGTTGATTATGTTTGCACCGAGTGGCGCTCCTGTAGATACTCAGTCGTTGATGCGTGGCTTTTCATATGAGGCAAAGGAGGTTGTTTCTAATTTGGGTGTTAAGATTGATTCTCAGCTTAATTTTGATGACCAAGTAAGGTTAAATCCTTTTTGACAAGGAATGACTTCGAGAAGCTTCTCCATGCATTTATAACATCTCATTTAGACTACTGCAATAGTGTTTAATTGGGTATTAATCATGGAAGTATCACTAGGCTGCATCTATTTCAGAAGGCTGCAGCTCGTCTCCTGACTGGCACACACAGGTTGGATCATATTACTCCTGTTCTTGCCTCTCTGCATTCGATCCCAGTTACGTTCTGTGCGAACTCCTCGTGCCATGCGTTCCATCTCGTGGATTGTTTTCGGCAGACCAGCATAAGTTGAGTGTACCTAGGGCAAGGCTACAGAAAAGAGGTTTTAGATCTTTCTCTGTGGCAGCACAAACTCTGGAATATGTTGCCTATCTCTATTAGGCAGGCGTCATCTGTTAAATAAAAGCTACTGAAAACTTACTTTTACTCGGCAGCTTTTACTATTCTTTAATGACTTGGTAGTCCCGTTTTTTTATTATTTCTTATGCCTGTGTTTTATGTTTTCTTGTGTTTTTACTTGACTGCTTTTATTTTTATGTATTTATTCATATGTTCAGCTTTTGGCCGACATTGTTGCATTTAAATTCGCTATACAAATAAACATGATATAAAATGTGATATTTGTGACTACAATTTAGATTTTTTGTGACTTTTTGTTTGCGCATATGTTTTTTTTAAAAACAGTTCAGTTGCTTTAGATCATATTGTAAACCATAATTTGTACCACATGTTTTTTTCTTGAATGGTCACAAGAAAACCTACATTTTTTAATATGATCAGTTTTATGTTTTGCTGTGATTCTTTCTATTAGGACAAAGTCAAATTCGCAGGAAAATTGGTATTATGGCGTTTGTATTTTGTCATCAGAGTTCATCAAATGGTCGTACTTCCTCTAGCGACCACTGGGTGGCGACAATGAGTAATGCAATCCGTTTCAGCCCCAGGATTACCTATGAGAAGAACATAGATGTTTTCAGGATATTGTTAAAATCGTTTATGTTTTGGTTTGAATAATGTGTCTTCAAATGCTTTATGATTTATATTAGTTTGTAATAAAAAGCAAAAAAGTAGTTGCCTTTATCTTCTGCGCTTGCGCACTTTAAACAAGCCATGTCCAGCTGCTCTTCCGCCCCGCCAACTAGGACTGCAGGGTCTAGCGGACGTCGACTTACAACATCCCCGAGTTTGTTAGTTTCTCAAACGGAATACTTTCTGGCACGGTATGGATAGCTCGCAAAACAGTAATAATGGTAAGTCAGCGATGGATTTAATAGCTGTTGTCGGTAAAGAGTTATAAGTTTTTCTTTTGGAGTGTGTGCGTCCGATTTTGAACATGGCGTACCCCGCTCCGTGATGGCGGTAGGGCTGTGCTACGTTGCACCGCCAGTCAAACAGTAGATGTGTGCACTTGGTATTTAAACGGAGGGTTCCCTTTCCTTCATTCACTTATTATTGCCTCCTCAATATCTGTAACTGTGTTTTGCGAGTTTAAGGGCTTTCTTCACAGTTCACAACGCTGCTAGACACCTCGTTCAGAGGCTCAACCAACGCTACAGTTAGCCTTTAGTGGCTAAAAACATAGCTGACGTTAGAGCCCCGGAAGAAATAAAAAATATACACCAAATTGACCGATATTTCCAAGTAATGTACTTTGAAATGTCTTCGCGTTCATCGAGCCAATAACATGTTTGGATACGTTTAAAATTAAACTACTGCCGCTGTTTCCCAAATTGTTAAGATTGGTGAATTTGATTTTTACGACACTTTTAAGGATCCGTAAACACACCAAAGGGTAGTTTAGAGGGGCTCGGAAAAAAACGGTGCGTTTTTGTGCATCTGACTCTTAAAACTGAATGGCATTATTAATAAAACTTTGACATTAGCGTTAGTAAAATAAATAAAAAGGTTTGTTTTTGTTGACGTAGTCATTTGAAGACAGGTGAACCGACGGCCAGTTACCCTTGCAGTAGCAGCACCACGCCCTTTTATTTATGCATGCACATTAGTCACAGCTGTAAGAGCACAACTAATCAACAAAGCTTAAACAGTTTTTATACCTGAAATCGTTTGTAGTGTTAATATAGTCTGAGTTTTAATTAATTTACATTAATGTCCGTAAAATCATTACCAGTCGCTGGCACGCTCAAATTTGACGGGGATGTTTGTTTATTTACTTATTTATTTGCTAGTTCCTACTACTAATCAAGCAAAATACCACATTTTTAATAATGACACAATTCGTTTTTATTCCAGCAGATAAATGATGCTTTAAGGTTTAACCGCACAAGAAAAAAAAGAACCATAAACAATCATATAAAAGCGTGCATTTTAATTAAGATCTGTTTTATTCCCATCTCTGCTTATGGTTAGACTGGACGACCAGTGACTAAATGGGTTAATAAAGTGGGTCAACTCTTCTAAACTGAATAAATCTGTGAACCCAAGAGTAGATTCTTGCAAATGAACTTGTGTGTTGTCAACATTTCTGCTAAAAATGTTAAAAATTGGGTTTTCATCTGTTGAACTGGGGTTTTATTTTAAACACTAACACGTTTTTCAGATCCACCTCTGCTGCTGCCGTCTCTTCGGCTCTTCATTCCTCCCCTCCGCCTGGTGTCTGCATCCATGTGGCACATCGTGCAAATGGGGAGTGTGCAGGATTACGGGATGGTGGAGGAGTTCATCAGCACGGTCACAGAAATAGTTCCAGAGCTGTTGAATGCAGACCAGAAAGCTCAGCTCCTCCTGGGACTCCGAGCACGAGTAAGCGAAGGCCTCTGACCTGTGTTTGCCGTCTGAGCTGCTCTGTCTGACACATCTGCTCTCTTGATGAAAACATTTCTGCAGGTTGTTCTGGAAATGTGTCGATCTGAGCAGATCTCGGACACAGAAGCCATCGAGATGCACCTGGACCAGATAAAGACTCTGGTGTCGACGTGGGCAGCGCAGGTTGGCTTCTGAAAGTGCGATCACCATCGAGGAAAAGTTTTTTTCTGCTTTAACTGCAGCTGTTTGTTTGCTTCCAGCCTTGTTTTACAGATGTTCAGTTTCCAGAGTCAAACTTTGTGCATCAAGTTGAGTTGTTTCTGAAAGACCCAGAAGAGAGGGAGAAGTTTTTCCAGGTGGAAATTTAATCTCTTGTATTTATCGTTTTATAAAACATTGGGCATTTACTGGGTCGTTGCCTGCATTGAACTCTAAATTGTTATTGTTTTTCCTCCAGGATGTTTTTCCTACTGATTTTGGACCTGATTATGACCACGCCCTGCAGATGCTCATGCTGGACTTCCTGTCCAGATTGGAGAAGCTTCTCCCAGTTCCAGACATCCAGCAGGTAATAGTTATTTATCACCATTCATCCTGTTTTCTTTATTATTTTCATTATCCCATTTACATTCAAATCCATAGCTAATGCTACTTCCGTGTTCAGTCCGTGATGTAAAGCTCGCTAAACTGGCAGCCATTTTTCTTCTCCTTGTCTGGTTTGATGATGTAAATTTGGTGAGATGAACATTTGTAGTCTGCTACATTTTTTCACGCACACCCTAAATGAACTAAAATAAGCGCTTTCTTGGCATCACAATGTGGCTTTGAAATTCACAGACATCATATGTGAAAACTACGGCACATATTAAACGGAATCAGAAAATAACTTTTTTCCATGACCAGAAGAGAAGGAGACCTCAGCTTTCTGTAGTCGAGACTACTTTTAATCTAATTCTCATGTGGTCACTAGGGGTGGGTCATTCACAATAATAATGTACAGTTTTTCTTGTCTGGGAGAATAAATGTTTCACGTTAAGCTAATTTCATGAAGTAATTGCATCCAATACACAGAGGATTATGCTGCAGCTGTGGCTACATTGTAGCTCATCACATGGGCTCGACACACAGGAGGCGACATCGCCTCTCCTCCGTTCATTTTCAACGAGACGTGCGCGACAAAGCGATAACCGCGGGCCTCCCTCCTACTAAGCGAAACACGAAAAACGCGCGTGTGAAATTTTGCGCTCGTGCACGTGTCGTGCACGTGTTGTGCGACTCTATCCCAGAAAGTTGAAATATTTTCAACTTTTCATCGCTGTCGCTCGGACAAGGACCAATCAACGGAGGTTTCATTCTCTGACCAATGAGCGGGCAGGATGCTCCGTGCATCTCCGAGCAAACATGGAGGAGAAGTTGATACTTGCTGTGACGGATTTCCCAGAACTGTACAATATTTCTACCAAAGAATGTAGAGATGTTCACAAAGAGGCCGCGACGTGGGAAATTGTTGGTGCCACAATTAACACATCAGGTAAGTGTACTTTACAAAGGCAAAACGTTTTTGTAAGTTTTTCTAGTGCGATAGCAAACCTAACGAAAAACGTTTGTGTTTAACATCATATCTACCGCTTTTTAAACTCTGAACCGCTTAAAAAACCTTAATTCCCTCCAACCGGACACAGCCAATCAAAACAACGGAAGATTCGATTTTGCCATGGAACGGAACGCGTCGACAGCGACGAATTTCACCGATCGCGGTCGTTTGATGCCTCCGTGTATCGAGCCCATTATGCTGCAGCTGTGGCTACTTTGTAGCTCATCACCATCGGTGTGTGAATGGATGAATGATAGTGTGTTACAGCCTCTGAAATGAGAGAAACCATGCACCCATCTGACAAACAAATGTTGCTGTGCCAGTGCAAGCAGCTGATTAGCTGCTTCGGATGTCCATGCCCACACCCCTCTGTCGCCATTGGTCTGGCTTTGTGTAGCCTGTCATGATCATGGGTGGCTGCACCTGTGGGTGCAGCATAAAAGGCTGTTTGGTGCAACTCCGAGGAGAAGAGATTGACCAATGAGATCTCCTCGATAGCTCCTGCCTGTGTGGCGTTTGGAGGCTGATTTTAAAGTGAAAAATACTCTTATCTCCCACAATGTGTCTGAATCTCCTCCTTATGTTGCGATCCCACGAGCCGGGTCGTAACATAGTGTAGTAGTGTGAAGCGCTTTGGGGTCCTTTGACTCTGAAAGGCCTTGAGTTATCAAAGTTATGAAGGCAAACATGTCTGAAGTCTCACAGTATTCGCTCAGCAAGTAGGGGAACGTTCATGGTAGTTGCTGAGGTATTTTGGCAGCTGCAGGCCTCCGTACCCGTTACCCAATAATGCAGGGAGGTTTGGTCCATCTCTCCACACAAACGAGAAACACAAAACCCATCAGTTATCGTGAAAATGCTCAATAACAACCAGATACCAAATCTGTATTTGTAGAGCATAAAAAGTAACTCAACCCTACAAATCATTGTTTTTTCTGATGTTATCACTGGACCCGTGTTCTGGTCTGTGTCGTTGCTGTTTAGACTGCAGCCATGCTCAGTGCTGCCCCATCTGCCCTGGAGGAGTGTATACATTCTGTACCCGACCCCCAGCACCTGAAAACGGTGCTCCGGTACCACGCAACACTCGGACACTTCGATTTCTCCGGTGAGTCGCCGTCGTTTTACTCCCATCTCTGTTGAATAGGATTTGTTCAAATCTAAGAAAACAAATAGAACTGCAAGAGTATCCCCACATTTGTACCTATTTATAAAGATTTCTTTGCATTTACCAAAGAATAAAAATGAGATTTTCATTTTTACCGCAGACGAAACTCAAACCATTCCGTCCTCCTTCGGAAACTGCATCATGTCCTCCCTGTCCCTCCCTCAGCTGGAGAAGATCGTGATCCATCCCAACCAACTGCACATAGCGCCTTCGGCAGAGCAGATTCCAGGTTGTATGACCGTTCAGGTGGAGGGCGAGACGGTGACCCTGCTGGACTACATTCAGATAGAGCAGCCGACCGGTCTGATGGAGGCTGACGATCACGAAGAAACTGACCTAAAAGTGGAGGAAAGGGAAGAGGGAGAACTGCTGGAGGATTTAGGTGAGGCCTTAAAGCCGGCAGCTTTTCAGCCGCTGAAGCAAAGCCGTAGGCTCAAGCTGAAAAGAAGAGCTTTAAAAGATGACGAGGATCCAGTGGCGGCTAAAAGGCTCCGGAAAAAATACTCCAACAACAAAACGTGTCCTGTGTGCAATAAGACGTTCCTGCGAGCGGCAGCCATGCGGCGTCACCAGGAAACCCACAACGAAAACCGGGACTTCAAGTACAAATGCAGCAGCTGCGACAAACGATTCAGGGACCATTATGACTTGAACCGACACGAGATGCGTGTTCACGAAAAGGGAGAGTTTAGCAAAAGCATCAACGACGAGGACCTGGAGGATCCCAACGCCTTTGAGGTCCTGGAAACTAAAACCTGCTTGCTGTGTGGGAAGTATTTTGCCCGGCAAGTAGATATGGAGCGACACATGAAGTCCCACTCAGAGGACCGGCCGTACAAGTGCTCCTACTGTGAAAAGAAGTTCAAGAATCCCTACGTCTTGAAGAGACATGAGAGGGAAATTTGTAAGAGCAGAGAGCAGAAAAAGCCCAAGAGGAAAGAGACCTCGCTAGCAAGTATGGAGCCCTACTCGGAGATCTCAGTGGAAGGGAAGATTTGTCCGATCTGCAGCAGGATCCTTCCGTGCACTGCAGATATCGCAAAGCATTTACGCTCCCACTCCGAGGAGAGACCCTTTATCTGTGTCACATGTGAGAAGGGCTTCAAGTACAAAGACACGCTGAAGAAGCATCAGATAATTCACGGTCACGAGGGCGTCAAGGAGGAGCAGTGCAAGACCGTGGATCAGATCCTCGCTGAAGCAGACGCTCAGAATTGTGGCGATGCTGATGAACTTGACAAAAAGGAGAGCGGTGCCGCACTGCCCGTGCAGAAGAACCCGTCTCCAGTTCTGAAGACCAAAAAGCCTCATAAGGTGTGTCCAGTCTGTTCGAGAGCATTCGACAGCATCAAAACGCTGAACAGACATCTACAGTGTCACACGGAGGATCGTCCGTATCATTGCATCCACTGCAAGAAGCGTTTTAAGCACATGCACGGGCTGAAAAGACACCAGATTTACGCCATTTGTTACAAGAAAACTACTCGATTCTTTTGGAGAAAGGAGTCGAGGGCAGGGTCCAGTCATAGCGAAGTGAGCAGCGCCGATGCCCATCAAGGGCCACTGAAGATACCCGTGTGGTGCTCAAACTGTGGAAAACACTTCGAGTACCCCTCCGCCTTAAAGGAACATCAAGAAAAGGTTTGCAAAGTGGAGTTTAGAGATGTAATGAAATGTGACGACTGTGGAAAGGAGTTTAAGAGCATGACGATGCTGAAGGTGCACCAGAGGATCCACGATCCGCTCTACTGCAAAGAGTGTGGGAAGATCCTGGCAAACGAGGCCGCCTTTGAGAGGCACAAGCTGATGCACCGACCGATGCAGTGCACCATGTGCGACAAGACCTTCACCTTACTGAGACGCTTGAGGGAGCACTACGAGAAGCAACACGACTTCTCCGGACCCTTTCCCTGTCCTCAGTGTGACAAGTCTTTCATCCAGCTGTCCTACCTCGCCATCCACCAGCGGATACACAAAGGAGAGTTTCCTTATGTCTGCAACAAGTGCCCAGAGAAGTTCCGCTCCTCCAACTGTCTGACGGTGCATCAGCGGAAGCACACCGGCGAGAAACCCTTCCTCTGCTGGCAGTGCGGCAAGTGCTACCGCTCAGCCTCTGAGCTCACGGTCCACATGGGAACCCACTCGGAGGAGAGACCCTGGGCCTGCACGCAGTGCGACATGGCTTACCGCACAAAGCTGCAGCTCAATAACCACGTAGAGCAGATCCACATTGGCGTCAGGTATCCCTGTAACACCTGTGGGAAGCAGTTCATGAAGGAGACGTCCCTGAAGAGGCACGAGCTCATCCACACCGGCGAGAGGCCTCACCAGTGCACCGTCTGCGGGAAGACCTTCCTGACCGCCAACGAGCTCCGCCTCCACAACAGGTACCACACCGGAGAGCGGCCGTACAAATGCGACGTGTGCAGCAAAGCCTTCATCCAATCAGGTTACCTCAAGTCACACATGCGCATTCACACGGGAGAGAAGCCGTTCACATGCGACATCTGCGACAAAGGCTTCAGGTTGTCGTATCACATGAAGAAACACAGACGGACGCACACCGGGAAGCCTACGAGCTACATCTGTGAGGAGTGTGGGTCCGCGTTCATACAGAAGAAAGCCCTGTGGGAACACTCGCTCAGTCACGATGTGAAAGTCCAATCAGCGTTCGCAGAAGAAGTCGGGATAGAGTTTCAGTAGGCGTTTTTGATCCTTCATACGGACCCAATTTCACCAAAAAGAAAGAAAAACCTTCATTCTGGTTTTTTTTTTTGTACAAGTTGGTGCTTTTTAATTTCCTTTTCAAGTTACCTTAGATTTGTAACTGAAATGGAGAATTAGCCAAATGCATTTTTGAAGCCATTGACAAAAGTTGTGAGTTTTTGAAACTAAATAAAACTTGAATGTACTCATTGTTTTATTCAAAGATGTAAATAAAATGGGAAACACGAATGACAAATGTCTTCGTTTCTATGCGATTGAAGTTTTTACCATCAGTTAGCTAACTCTAGCTGAAGATCAGCTGCTTAGTAAAACAGATTTAGTCCTGATTGTTGTAAAACATGCTCTGAAAAAACTAAACTGATTAACTTTGATTTCTTAAACATTGGTAAATTAAACATATAAACAAGTTCTATTGCTTTCTACTATCTCCTTGATTATAGTATTCATCTACAGTATTTTCTAAACCTCTTTTCCCACAGATGTTAAACTAAAGATGTTTTTGTTCTTGGTTTGAAAATTAAAGGCAAGTTCAGTTTCTGCAGAGGAACTTAAATACCCAGGTGTTGATGGTTTAAAAGGATACTTTGCAACTTTTTTATATTTATAAATACTTTTCTTGAGCCAGAATGTGCTAAAATGACCCTTTACAGGGTTAACGAAGGTCCACCCAGCCCCTATACTCCACTTGCAACTTCATATGTGGATCTGCTCTACATGATTATTGGTCTATTGGGACTTAGAAAATGGAGCTGACATACCTGGCGCTGCAGTCTGCTTCCAGCATGTTTTAGATCATGAACACAGCTGATTTGTTTAATTTAGTGATGAGTCACGCCTGTAGACACGAAGGAAGGCTGGGGGACGTTTCAGCTGTTCGATTATGGTGTTAAAAAGACAAACACAGCGAGGAGAAACGTTTTGGTTCTACAAACGGAAACTAGGGGTGCTTAAAACAAGCTATCCAGAGCTTCCCAGGAAATGAAACTGTTAGAAAATCCTGAATTAGTGATGAAATTCACTAACATTTTATTTTATTTTTTTTTTATTTTGAACAGGTCAAACAGCTGAATTCACAAAGAAAAAAAAGGAAACAAATGTAGTTTGTTAAAAAGAAATTGTAATAAATGCCCTTATTATATAAGACTTTCCAACTTGTATCAAAGTATCACGAACTAAAATTGTTCGAAAAGGAATAGGAAGAAGCATAGCTTACTTCACCTATCCCTAAATTCATTTACGCACACTTAAAAATTAACAACGTCTGAGTACAACACAAAATATAACAGCATTAATGTATAATATCACTACAGTACAAATCACTGATCCTCTTGTCTGGATCTGGAGAAAATCAGTTCTTTGAATGATTTTCAATCAATCAATCAGATTTTATTTATAAGGTGCTTTTCGAGCAAAGTGCTACTCAAAGTGCTTTGCAGAATTAAAATGACCCCAAATTCCCATAACTGTTTAAAAACATTAACAGACATATGCGCACACACACACACACACACATCAGTAAAAAATTATATTCGACTGAGTCCAGGTGAGCCGAGTAAGGTAAAGCAAGGAAACGCCATCAGAGGAGCCGTCTGCCCCGGCAGCAGCAGGTCTTCCACACTGTCGGAGCGCTCAGAGGAGGAGGAGAATAGACCCCCACCTCCACTTAATCACCACCTGTATCATGTAAAAATGCAAAGCCAGTCATAAATTCTTTTAATTGCACGATATTTAAACTTCGTTTGATTTTTTTCTTCAAAACTGTTCCATAAAATAACCCCACTGATTGAAATACACATACTTTTCAATTTTGTTCAAGCCTAATATTTCATTAAATTCCCCTCTCAAATTATATTCCTCTTGTCTTTCTGCAAACAGCCTTTGAATAATATCAGGCAGTGTTTTTTTATTGGCTCTATACATAAATAATGCAGTCCTAAATTCTATCAAGTCTTTAAACTTTAAGGTCTGTAATTTTATAAACAAGCTACTGGTATGTTCATGGGATCCAACGTGGCTAACCAACCAAATGGCTCGTTTTTGTAACGTTCTAAGTGCATATAGGGTGGTTTTATAGGTGTGTCTCCACACTTCAACACAGTAAGTTAGGTATGGTACTATCAGTGTGCAGTACAGTGTATACAACGACTTTTGATTCACAAAATGTCTTGCTTTTCCCAACACCCCAATACTCCGTGCCACCAACTTGCCACTAATCTGTAGACATCTTTTCTTCCACAGTAATTTTTAATGCAGGACCTTAACTAGTAATAAGACCAGGTCTTTGTGCTCTATCAAAATGCAAAAGTAATCTCTAGAATAAATATAAATATAATAATTTCCTATCCTTCCAGTGCTCCTCTTCAGCCAGTAGATGGCAGTATAGTTCTGATAAATGTCAGGAATGTGCTACAACTTTTTCTTTGGACCTGATTCCTAATTCTGGACTGTAGCTCTGGTACGAAAGCAGGAAAATGTTATTTTAGGTTTATTGCAGCTTTAATTTAGACAAACTGCTCTCTGCTGCTTAAAGGGAACCTTTGTGCTTCCTCCCAGACACCTTCACCTGACTTGACACAACCTGAGTGGCAGCTGAGCCGCTAGCAGCTGCGTCATCCTGGTTTTCTCTAGAAACGGCTCCTGTCTCTGAGAAAAATCAAAAGACGTCACTAAATCTGAGCCTCTCCAGAGTGTTGGGACCATATCACTCTAACCCAGAGCATATTGATTTATATGGAGCTGTAATTGCTTCAGTGTGTCCGGGATTACCCCCCACCCCCCAGTAATTGAGGCCTGGCTGAGGTCTCTTTCCTAGACATGGTCTCTGTGGTGCCAGATGGTGAGAGGCGAGGAGTAAGGCACCCTCTCTGCAGGCCAGCAGGGGGGAGATGGGGAGCAGCAGGCCCTCACCCTCTCATGGACCTGGGATCAGCTCATCTCTTCCCCTGCTTGCTGTGAGGTGTCCCTCACAGGCCACCATCCAGCTCTGAAGGCATCATGAGGCAGCACTTTTCTCCCCAAACCTGAATCTGAGCCTTTTGAACCTATCTAGGATCAGCTGCTTCAGTCACATCAGATGGATGATTGAACATAACATTGTTCTGCTGTTTGTTTTGTTTTGATCCTGACTCAGTGGAACATTCCTGGATTTGGTAATAGAAGGGAATGCCTGCACGCTGCAGCGTGTGTGTGTGTGTGCGCGCGCGCTCCTCAGGTTTCGCCTGCCGTTGTGATGCTTTCATGCAGCCTCTTCACTATTTACTGAGTTATTTTAAAAAAAGCTCTTCAGAATAATTTCAGTCAATTTATGTTAAATGTAAAAACCTACTACTAATTACCGCGAGGCGAGTTGGAATGAGAAGCGTTTTAGGACAGTACGTGACTTTTAAAGATAGAAAAACATGCTGATGGTTCAGCCCAAACCCTAACCCACACACCTGCTTCTCTCACACCTAGTGGCTCAGCTGAACACCTGCTGTGATGAACTGAGCCTCTGAAGGCTCTTCAACTGTGGTTTTTATAGAACGTATGACAGAAAAGCACCCTTCACTTGCAGTTTCGGAGAGATTAAACGGCTTGTATTGGATATAGTGCCCTTCTAGAGGCCAAGAACCCCCCCAAAGCGCTTTACAATGCAATCAGTCATTCATCCATTCACACACATTCACTCTCTGGTGGTGATGATGAGCTACATTATAGCCACTGCTGCCCTGGGACTCACTGACAGAGTCGAGGCTGCTGAGCACTGGCGCCACCGGCCCCTCTGACCACCACCAGCAGGCAAGGGGGGTTAAGGGCTCAGGAGGAAATTTGAGCTAAAATTGGATAAAATTAGATGCATTTCCTCTGAAAAAAACACATTTCATTATGGCAGCTAAATGGATTTTCCTGGAAACACAAGTAAGGTTTTATTTATGGTTTAAAACTGTTGCACACATGATTTTAGATCATTTTAGACGTTTTGCAGCTTTTAAATTCAACAAGTTCCAGTTTAGTGAATTTTTGCCGAGAATAGACCTGAGTACTCCGATAATAATCACTCAATAACCTCTTTAAACGTTCTTTATTTTAGTGAGCACTACGTAGTTAAATAAAAGTACAGTTTAATGATGCAACAAAGCCTAGCGTCAACACCGAACCATTCGCTGAAACTGCACACTTTGCATGAATCAGCATTTCCGAATTTGCTTGACATTGGCATGAAACCACAGCTTTAGTCTGGTATGATTCTGATTATGTAGCTTTTCTGAACAGAATAAAGTATAAGCGTTAGTTTTGGACTATTGCTGTGTTTTGCATCCATGCACGGAGTGGCCCACGGTCTCATTAACTCCGGTTCTGCCTTCATCACTAGCGTGGTGCAGCCTGGGAGCTCAGCTTCAGTTCAATTCAATCCAAAAATACTTTATTAATCCCAGAGGGAAACTTATTGCTGTAGGAGCTCTGAATAATAATAATAATCAAGTCATCAAAGAGTTATTGTATATTACAATGGCTGTTGGCAGGAAGGATCTCCAGTAGCGGTCAGTGTTGCAGCCAAACTGAAGCCTCTGACTGAAGACACTCTTCCGTTGTCGGACAGTCTTGTGAAGAGAATGCTCAGGGTTGTCCATCATTTCCTTGATTCTCTGGAGAATGCTTCTTTGCATTATCTCCTCCAGTGGTTCCACAGTCGTCCCCAGAACAGAACCAGCCTTTGTTATTAGGCTGTTGAGCCTTTTCGGGTCCCTGCTTCTGATGCTGCTACCCCAACAGACGAAGGCTGAAGAGATTACACTCTCAACAACAGACTTGTAGAAGATCTGCAGCATCTTGCTACAGACATTGAAGGACCTAAGCGTCCTCAAGAAGTGCAGTCTGCTGTGTCCCTTCTTGTAAATGGCTTCGCTGTTCTTTCTCCAGTCCAGTCTGTTGTCCAGGTGAACTCCAAGGTATTTGTATTTCTCAACCACCTCCACTTCTTCTCCCTATGATGGAAACTGTGTTTGACTCCACCCTCCACTCCATCCAGCTTGTTGAAGATCCTGCCACAAACAGTTAAATCTGCCCTGGTTTTTATTTTTTGAAAAAGTGGGTTTTGATCATCAGCAGGCACCACAGATTTTTCCTGGCATTTTTGTTTTTGGCCCAAACTCCTGTGACCCCTGAGTGTTTCTATGGAAACATCTCTATCCCAAACAAGAACCCCACATCTTGCATTCGCTCAATGACAAAGCTTTGCTTCTTCCATG